TTTTTCTCCCTCTGGCAAATTCTTTAGGTCATATCATGAAGATAATACTATCATTCTTCACAACATTCTGATCATTTTTTTTGCAGGTAAAACTATGAGTTTTGATGATGAGTGACATTTATTAGAAGCAAACAGAATCTGGTCTTAGGTCATTAGTCATATTTATTGTAAAGAACACATTTCGCAGGATTTCAGAAGAATTTTCTTTATCTTTATAGATCTTACTATATATCAATAACCTGTTTGTAAGTTATAGGATCACAGTCTAATATCTTAGACATTGTATCATATTTCATTTTGATAACTAGAGGAGCTGCAGCCTATATATACTGGCTTGCTGACATATTAATATTATTATTTTATTTTTATTATTTTGCATGTTTCATCAGTTCTTTCTTTCTAAGGGGCTTCAAATATTTCTTTGGGGGGGACTTCAAATATTTCTGAAGAAAACATGTGCACTTCAGTTTATTGCCTTCCCTATGCAGTTACCTTATTATTTAGAATATATCAACATCTAACAATATAGAGCTATAAAAAGTTAATATAGTCCTCACTGATGATTCAGTTGCATACATTCTTATTTGCACATATTAATTCTGTTTAATATTGTAACTGTAATTTACAATCAGCATCAAGAGTTAGATTTTAAAAATATACCATGACTTGGAAAAAATTATATTAAGTGAAGTAAGCCAGGCCCCAAAAAACATAGGTCCCATGGTTTCCCTTATTTGCAATAACTAGTATATATCTGAGACAAGCAGAACTGGTCAGATAAGTTGATGTTAGGGAAATGAAACCCAAGATAAGGGCTCAAATGGTTTTTATTTCTTGCTATTGTTTCTAAGATATTTATAAGATGAGTTCTTTGTTGTTTATATGCCCCTCTCCCATGGTATAACTCCTATTTTCACTGTATTTGATGTTGGTATAATTTGGGGAGGGGAAGGAAAAATACAAATTGTTTAAATAGGGATACAGGTGGACCCATTGCAACAATGAGATGTACAAGACATTATTTCAAAAAATGAACTTTACAACTTTGGTGCAGGGAGGGGGTGAGAGGGGCAGGTAGGGGGAGATGGGAAGGGATGGGAGGGGAAACAAAGGAGGAGGCAACAATGCTTGATACGAAATGTACTCATTACCTTGCTCATGTAATTGTAACCCCTCTATACGGTATTTTCACAATAAAAAATATGTCATGAAACTTTTATGGGATATCACTTTACAGTATAGTGTACATACATACATATTCTTGGGGGAATAAGAGAATTGGTTAGTTTCCTTCCTTCCTTCCTTCCTTCTTTCCTTCCTTCCTTTCTTTTTTCTCTTTCTTTGTGAATGTCTTAGGGTTTGAACTCAGGGCCTGGGTTTTGTCCTTTAGCTTTTTCACTCAAAGATGGTTTTCTATTATTTGAGCCACACCTTCACTTCCAGCTTTTTTGTGGTTAAGTGCAGACAAGAATCTCACAGACTTTCTTGCTCAGGCTGGCTTCAAACCTGTGAATCTGAATCCTCAGATCTCAGTCTCCTGAGTAGCTAGGATTACAGTCATGAGCTACTGGCACCCCACTTGATTTGTTTTTGTTTGTTTGTTTGTTTGTTTTAATTGAAACACTGCATTGTCTCAGCAAGGGTAGCTGCAGTCCTTAGGTCTGAATGACTTTTATACTCTGGGGGGAAAAAAAGACAAACTGCCCAAATAAAGCATCACTAATCAGTTCTTGAACTGGAGGACAATTCAGATTTTCAAATTTTTACCCCTATCCCAGCTACTTTCCAATCCTTCCCTTTTAAAACTCCTAAAACCAAACTCACAGATGTTGAAAGTAAAGAAAGTAAAGAAAGAAAATGAAAAGGATTTGGATGGAGTGGCTACCTATTTAGAGCACAATACCTATGGTGGAAATTTTTTTTTCCAAGAATCAGTCCTTAATGTATGGAGCATGCCTTTGATCTCTCAAAAGTGCCAGTCTTTTGGACACCTAGTGGTGGCTCACACCTATAATCCTACTCAGGAAGTGAGATCTGAGAATTCTCATTGGAAGATCTGAAGCCAGCCTAGGTAGGAAATTCAGTGAGATTCCAGCTCTATTTAACCACCAAAAGGCTGGAAGTGGAGGTGTGGTTCAAGTAATAGAACATGATCCTTGAGTGAAAAGCTAAAGACAGAGCCCAGTCCCTGAGTTCAAGCCCCAGTATACACACACACACACACACACACACACACACACACACACACACACACACGGGTATAGAATGAATTAAGTCAGGAATTCTGGGTCTATAAAGCAATGTGTGTGTGTGTGTGTGTGTGTGTGTGTGTGTGTGTATGTGTATGTGTGTGTGTGTGTGTGTGGTCCATACCTGAAATGGGGGAGTTTTCCATGTTGTGGTTTATTAACCCGGTACTTTCCAATCACTTGATTAACAATTAGAAAACAGAAAGAAGAAAAATACAAAAAAGAGCCTACCCCTTGCTTGTGTTTTTTAAACCCAGGGTGGAGACTGAAACTATTAAATAAGAAGGGAAAGTCCTGCACATTCACCTTGACCTGGTCTAATGCCTGTAAGAGGCCAGTGCTCTGTAACAGACATCCCTAGGTACAAATGGAAAAATCAGAGGTCTGACTTGAACATGGGGAAACCACCCAGCCCCGAGAGAAAGAAAAAGGGGAACCATCATCATCACCCTGCCTCAAATTGGAAAGGGTGCTCTGGTTTCCCATCCTGGGGCCTGGATTTCCTCTGACAGTTCCAGTAGTAGAGACAAGACCCCAGCAGGAACGCTGCGCCCTCTTGTCCCACAAACCACCACCCCACGCCTGCACCTAAATGTCTCAGCTTCCAAGCAGGCAGAAATGCTCTTCCTTTCACCTTGGCTTCTCCAGTCGCTCCTTTGCTGCGGTTTGTAACTTCTTTATTCGGTTTACTGAGATGGTCTGACGTTTAAGGTCAAAAGACTACACTCAGCAAAAGCCCAGAACCACTAACAGACCCTGGGAAAAGGCAAGATTGTCCAGCCCAAGGACTGAAAGCTCTAGAAGGAGCGGCTGGAAATCTCTGCCAGTAGCTCCTGGAACAGCCCCCCCCCCCCCCCCCGCCCAAGGACTCATCCAACTCTCCAAGATCTGGAGAAGCCCGGGACAGCCTTGGGATGGGACCAGAGGGTGCACTCCTAACACTGAAAGCAGAGTGTGCAAGGTACCACTTTCTCCTTCACGAGAGAGTTGGGGGGGGGGAGAGGAGGAGGAGGAGGGGCCCTGGACTCCACTTTACGTGCGACAGCTGCAGGGCAATGAGTACCCCCGAACAAAGGAGCACAAAGCACCGGGGGGGGGGGAGGATATGGTGGGGGGGTGCGAGGTTGGAGTAGCTCGCAGCTGCCGCCGGGCTGAGCGACTCCCTCACCACACCCCCCTCTCCCTGGGCAAGCATTGGAGGGTGTGCAAGGATTTCAGCAGGGAAGGGAATGCATCGTTGAGATTCCCGTTGCGCAGTGAACGCCTCGGGAATTCTCGTGGACGCTTGGGAATGGCAACCTCAGATCCAAAGGAGTCTGGAGAGAGAGAGAGAGAGAGAGAGGAGGGGAGGAGAGAGGGGGGAGAAGGGGGGAGAGAGGAGAGAGAGAGGGGGAGAGGGAGAGAGAGAGAGCGCAAAACAAAGAGCGAGTGTGGGCCGCGGTGACTTCATGCCTTACCAATGTCCCGCCCACGCTGCTCCCAGCCCGTCCTGCGTGCAGCCCAGGCAGCCGCCGAGCCGGCAGGCGACCGGGGCGAGGCGCACTACAGCTATAGCGTGGGGAGGTTTCCTAGCAACGAGAGGCCCCGAAGCGCGCCCTGCTTACCAGCAGGTTAGGAACCCTTTTTTGGGGTGGGGAGGGAAGGGAAGAGTGCGGGGGACAGGGCAGAACAACCCCACCCCCACCTATCATCACTCTCGCCTCCCTCCCTCGCACCCCTCACCGGGTGCAACCCTGAGCGCGCCTGCCGCCGGGGCTCTGGGCGGCGGGACGCTCGAGTAGCTCCTTGGGAGCCGAAAGGACCAGGGTACGAAGCTCCCGCACCTCCCCGACCTCCGCCGCCGAACCTCTTCTTTCTCTCCCTTCCTAGCTGCCGTGCGCTCCACTCCCCGCCCGGCAGGACGCGGCGAGGTCTCCTACGATGCCTGTGGACGTCTAAGGAGCGCCCGGAGCCTCCTTCCCAGCGGCCGCTGGCACCCCCACCCCGCCCCGTCCACGACACCCCTCGCCACCCCGGGGCTTCCTTCCTCGCCCAGCGGGACGCTGGAGGCCGGGTCCTCGCCCGCTGCTCCGTGAGCAGGCGGCCAGGCTGTAACTCGGCGGAGTTGGCCTTGCTGCCCACCTGTGGAAGAGCTCGCGCCGACGGATGCGCCTTCGACTTGGCCCGCTCCCTCCCCGGGCCCGGCGAGGCGTCCCCTCCCACAAAAGCAACATCACCCAGTGAATTACATTAGGGTGGTTTCCCTCCCACCCCCGTCCAACCTCCCCACCGCACCCCCCCCCCCAGCTTTGGGCTTTGTTTGGGTTTGATTGTGTTTGGCTCTTCGCTAAGCTGATTTATGCAGCGGAGCCCCATCGGCTGGAGAGAAAACAAAAGCTCTTTTCTTTGTCCGAGGGAGTGTGGACTGTGGAGCCACGGCGGCTCGCCCTCGGCTGTTTTAGGAGGTGTTTCTCTCTCTCTCTCTCTCTCTCTCTCTCTCTCTCCTTTTCTCTCTCTCGCTCTCCCTCTCCACCACCTCCCCCCCACCCCTCCTTCCAAGATCGTGGGTCTCGCCTCGCAGAGCTGGGAGGGCCGCTAGGGCCCTGAAATGCAGAGCGGTGCCCAGGCCCACGTATCTGCACCTCCTGATCGGAACCGTGGGATCCAGCAGCCGGGCCTGCGGGAAAGGTCCTAGCGACCCTCGGCCCGCGGGCCCCGCGAGGTGCGCCCCGCAGGCGAGGCGCGAGCGCGCCGCAGCAAAGCCGCCAGGCAGCGCGCGCGGGGCGGGCTGCTTTGCATGATGTGCCGCTCGGCCCTGGCTTTTTTGACTGCTGCATTTGTCTGTCTGCAAAACTGCCAGCGAGGTCCTGTCTCGTTCCTCCGGGCGGCGTGGGTGTTCTCACTTGTTCTGGGACTGAGCCGAAGTGGTAAGTTGTTTTGATTTGTTTTCTTGTCTTCGTTTCTCCTCACTCCTTCCCTCCCTACCCCCCACCCCCTGGGATATGGGAAGAGCTGGGGATGCTCCAGCCAGGTAAGTAGCAGATGTCAATCTCAGTCACTCCTGAGACCAGGAGGAGGTCAGTTGTGGGGCAGCTTCCTCAAATGCAGGTGGCCTCAAGAAAGGTCAGAAGTTGAGCATGTTCGCCTCGCAGTGACAGCAGGGTCTAACTATATTAGGACACATTGGAAGTTGCACCAGGGTGCTGGGCTAGCAGTTCTTGAGAAGCGTTTGGAAAGGAGGGGTTGGATTTTTATTAGCCAGTTTCGAAGGTTCCAGAACATCCTTGAGGGCACGTCCTGTACTCATTTGTGCTGGTCCTCTCTCCAATATTTGGGCCCACAAGCTACTCATTTGAAATCGACTCAAGGTTGTGGATGAACTGGTTTATAATGGGAACGTGTCTTCCATTGTTTTAGTCTATAAAAGAAAAAAGAAACGGCACCGTACCACTTTCTCCTATCATAGAGTTCATTAATAGAGTGAATTAAATATGCTTGGGCTTTAAGTTACTACCACTGTACCTTGTAGTAGTTGTTGTTTTCTTTAGAAAGAAATCTGTATTGAGTTCATTCTGGGAAACAAACAACATTGACAGTTCTCAGTCCTTTTTACAAAGTTTATAGTCTTCTTCCATTGGCTAAGTGAGGCAACACCTGCCCTCCCTAAGTCTCAAAAGAAACTTCATGTCTAGCAGTTGAGAAGGGATTAGAGTATCTTTTCTTCCCCCCCCCCCCCGGGGTCCGGTCGTGGGGCCTGAACTCTGGGGCCCAGGCGCTGTCCCTCAGCTCTTCAACGCAAGGCTAGAGCTCTACCACTTGAGCCACAGCGCCACTTCCGGCTTTTTTTCCTGCTTATGTGGAGCTAAGGAATCGAACCCAGGGCCTCATGCATGCAAGGCAAACACTCTACCACTGAGCGGCCTTCCCAGCCTGTTAAGAGTATCTTTGATTGGTGGATACAAAGTCAAATGTAAGGTGGTAACTTTTTTTAAACAAGCCATAAAACAAAACTAATAATAGCAATAGCAATCAATTTAGGATGTCGTTTTCATAGAGATCAAATATTTATTTGTGCAAATACAAGACTCCAGACAAGTGGAATTAATAACTTGAATTAATAGTTGTAATTTATTAACAAGTACATTCAATGGTTGTAATGCTTTTACAGACTAAAATTTACTTCTGTGTTTTGAATTGATGTGTCAAGTCTCTACCTGTAACAACTAATTAAAACAGTCAAGTCATAGGCTTATAAATACGGGTTGGTAATAAAACTAACTTCCTTTAGTTGTTGCAGAAATAGTGATCTAATAGTTATTTTAGGGAGTTTTATCGAGTTACCTAAAACTGGGTCAATTAGAGTGAATTTTTATCTTATGGTTTATTTCCTGACTACATATTGATGTTGAAATAAGTGAAACAGAATACCAAGGGAAAAAGTAATCATCATTATTAGTTCTTTCCTAAATGGAACATATAGTTGTTGCAACAGATTTTCTGCCAAGTCTAATTCCATCCTGTTTCAATAAGTAACAAAGTGTTTTTCTAGATTTAGTAAACATACACTATGTCAACAGAGCATACTTTGTTCCTAATACTCAGAGTAAAAAGTCCCACTTGCCTTTAGAATCTACTAACCACAATCATTTTATTAAAACCTGCATTGTGCTTGTAAAAATGAATTGAGTTCTTGTGTAGTAGTGCTGTATTCCATCTGTAACTCTAACTGACTTAAAACAAGGATTATGAATGGCCTGCCTTGCACCTGCAGATCTGAAAAAGAATGTTTATCTGAAATCAGAACAAGGCATCCTTTTCCCAGTCTCTGTTAATATACAAAGGTTTCTGATGCATACTGATTTGCATGGCAGTTTAAAACATGCAAAAAATTTTAATTATAGTAAATATAACTCAGAAAATTAGAGATCAGGGCAAACTGTTATACTTTTGTTATATAGCTACAAATCTTAAATTATATGTTTTTACAGTACAAATTAGATGCTTACAGCAGAATAGACATTTAGGTATCAATTACAAAGAAAATCTTGCTCCCATGCACCATAGTTTACACCAAGAAAATGTTAAAAGAAGTAAATCCCAACAAAAGAGACCATAAGCTTCCCAAGAAAAATATATTGCTGGATTTGATTTTTTAACTAGAATTTATAGGTCTCAAATATATAGACCTTTAGTATAGTGAGTAGCAGGTGTTGTGAATAAAATGTAACTATTTCTCATGTACAAAAAGAAGATTGCAGCCTTTTTTGTAACTATTCCTGGAAGAAAGGGTCAACAATTAAATATAATTAGTGTTAATGACAAAAATGTTATAAAATGGTTATTGAGTAACTAGAAAACAAAGACTACTTAGGGCTAATATTTGAAAAGTAACGTAACAGTGCCACCATTCTACATTGGTTTATTTTTAACCATAAGGAAGACTTTTGTTATCTAAATTTCCATAGACTGATATTACAGTTAAAATATCAAAAATCACTATTAAGCTATCCTAAAGCAAGAGAGACACTTTTAGAATCAGTACAAAGTAAAAGTCATTTATGTTTGCCCTGTTTATGGAAACAAGTAGCTGATGTGATTTGAAAAGTGCTAGAAAAGTTTCTGTGTCCCTTAATGTCTCTTTATCCTTATAACATATTATCTAAAATGTTATCACTCAATGGATTCTTTCAGGTTAATCATGGTATTGATCCTTGTGTCTCTTCATTTTTAATGCTACATAATGGGCATTTTGAACACAAACAGAAGCAGAAAGAATGGTATAATGGGTACAGTATACCCATTACCTGGCTTCTTTCCTTATCCACTCTCAAGACCAATTTCTTTCCTCCTATTACTACTCCTACCCAGCTCGTGCCCTTCCTCCAATTAAATTCTTTTCAAGAAAATCCCTTATGCAAGTTTATTAAGAAACATTTCAATAAATGTCTCCCAGAAGCACTCCTGAAAGGAAAAATACACTGTCATTAATCTCAAAGCATGAATTTTTAAGTGAAATTGAAGGCCACACAAATGTTACAATCTTCAGAAGAAGGAATTGTGCAAGATGAGGGAAAGATTTTTTCTTAAAAATAGGTATATGCAACAATTTCTTATGCTATATGTGTTGAATGAAGAAGAAAAATAATTACATAAATAAATCTACTTCCCAAGAGAAGCATTAATTGCTTTAATTCAGTGGAATCCTAACAGGTATACTTGTTAAAGTTTCAATTAGAAAGATTCATGTATGACTCATATATGCTACAGAATCTCTCTATTTTTCCCTCTCCCTTTGTGGGAAGTCCTGAACAGAGTCCTTGAGTCTTTGCAGCCAGGATTTCCATACCACCTCCACAGTTCCATTTTGTCCAGATCTGATAACTTCACTGTTGGCATATCTAATGGCCAATTCTTCATCTTTATCCTGTTTGGCCTATTTCTCAATTGACAATGTGGACTGAGCCCTCCTTGGAAACACTCCTCAAACCATCTCTTGTTTTAGCTCTTTCTTCATCTCTGATGTTGCTTTCCTCTTCATGCCATGTACGCCGAAGAGGAGGAATGGCCCACGACTTCAGTCCTTTCAATTTCTCTTCACTACACTGAGTTCTCACATAAATTGATCAGTCTTGAGATTGAAACACCATTTCTATGCTGACACCTCACTGATCTCTTATTGGATCTCCAGAGAACATTGAAAACTACCTTTCCAATGTCCCCACTGTGTGTCTAAAGAAAAATGATTCCTATGTATTCAAGACTAAATGTCAATTTTTTTTCCTTCAGGCTTGCTACAGACCCACTTTTGTCAACCTCTTGGCAGTTCACTAAAACTTTGGTGGCTTTCTTAGTCCTTGTGTCTCGATACATTTCACAGTCCTTATACCTTATATATCAGCCATGGCTCAGGTCTACGAAACCATTTTTTCCCCAAACCTTGAAAAACCTACTAGATGGCTTCCTTGATGCAGAGCAGCTGGTTTCTGCTGTGCATCAGGTCTGTTCTGCTGCTCTTCCATTTAGTTTTCTTCCACATAGTTTTTTTTTTTTAATATATCTCAAATTGAGGTTACCCTTCCATACTCTTCAATATCCCATATAAGTTATTTCCTGCTGGCTCAATGGCCTTATTTTCTTATCTTCCTCCTTTTTTCCTTTTCTCCTTATGTTCCAGTAACTTTCTAGATCTTGGATTCAAAAGACATGATCTTATTTTATATGTACATATACGTATGTATGTATACATGTATACATACATGTATAACATGTATGTACATCGATGTATACATACATAAATATACATATGCATGTATAGACACATTTATGCAATACTGGTATTGAACTCAGGGCCTCAGTGCTTGGTAAACTGGCATTCTACTACAGAGGCCAAGTTCTCAATTCTTTTCTGCTTTGGTTATTTTTCAGCTAGTCTTGCATTTTTGCCCTGGGCCAGCCATAAACAGTGATCCTCTTATCCATGCCTGTATTGTTATAGGACTGACAAACACATACTTCCACACTGTGCTTACTTGATGAAGTGTGATCTGACTAGCTTTTTGATTGGTTTGGCCTGATTTGGGATTATAGGCATTCACCACTATAACTGACCCTATACTTCCAGTATTGAATATGTTTTGCCTTGTTCCAGGAGTATTCTTTTCTAAGGTTTGTTGCTGACTCCTTCTATATTTCCTCCTAGCACCTATTCAAATATTGCCTTATAAGAGAGAGAGCTTCTCTGTCTTCCTGTCAGCCCTGAGTATCTCTTTCTTTCATAACTCTTAGCATCTCTTAGATTCTCTGACTGTCCCTCCTCCCAACCCCCAAACTAGAAGTCAGCATGAGGAGATGTACTTCATTCTCTTTCTTTGAAAAATATCAACCATATTAAAAGACTTCCAATACACACTTGTTGAAGAATAAAAGA